CCCTCCTCGCCCTCCAGCAGCTCGCGGTAGGTGGCAATCTCGATGTCAAGGGCCGGTTCACGTTGAGCAGATCCTGGTACTCCTGCAGGTGCCGGGCCATCTCCTCCTTCAGGCTGCGGATGTCCTCTTGCAGCCACACCACCGTGTCCTGGTAGCCGGCCGTCTCCAGGGCGTAGTGGTCCTCCAGCTCCCGCAGCTGCCTCTCCAGGGACTCGTTCTGGGGGGCCACGAGGGGACGTGACACCCTCCACAGCCACCTTCTCCCAGGAGCTAGGGGCTCTCCACGGTACCCATCCATCTCCCATCCGGGTGGTGATCCTCCCACCATGGCAGGGATCCCCGTGGTGGTGGCCGCTCCCAGAGGCCGTGTCCCCTCACGGCTGTCACCTACCGAACCCCGCAGAGCCTCCAGGTCGCAGGTGAGGGCCTGGAGCTGGTGTCGGTACTCGTTGGCCTCCTGCTTGGCCACATGCAGGGCCTCTGCGTGCCGGGCAGCCGCGTCCATCAGGTCGGCGAACTGGTGGGGGGACACGTGCCGTGGGATGGGACCACACAGCAGGGATGTGTCCTGCTGGCACAGGGCATGGGGACACGACCCAGCTCTGCTCCATGGGAAGGACGTGGCCCCAGTAGCCGGTGGCGTGGAGAAACGTCCCGGCTACCGCAGGGTGGTGGGATGGTGGGCAGGGGACATGTCCACGATGGCGGGGGTCCCTGGGGACACGTCCCTGCTGCCGTGGCACAGCGCACGTGGGCCACGTCTCTGTGAACACAACTCCTGAGGGACCATGGCTACGTGAGTCACCGCTGGGGACACATCCCCCTGCCCACGGGGACCAGACCGGGACACAGGACACGAGTGGGGACCACTGGGGACCAGTTCTGTCCAGTGCTGGGCTGCCCAGTTCAAGAAAGATGAGGAGCTACTGGAGAGAGTCCAGGGGAGGGCTACGAGGATGAGGAGGGGACTGGAGCATCTCCCCTATGAGGAGAGGCTGAGGGAGCTGGGCTTGTTCAGCCTGGAGAAGAGAAGGCTGAGAGGGGACCTTAGAAATGCCTCTAAATATCTGCAGGGTGGGGGTCAGGAGGATGGGGCCAGGCTCTTTCCAGTGGTGCCCAGTGACAGGACAAGGGGCAATGGGCACAAACTGAAGCAGAGGAAGCTCCA